GCCAGGTTTGGGGCCCCGCTGCACGGGGGGGGGGGGACAACAAATGTTACCTTTGCCCCACGGCGCATAACACCCTTGCTACGCCTATGCGGGAAATTTCAGTCAGCTGCCTCTGTAGCGCCCCCTCCTGGTCTGTGTGCACTCACGGTAGGCCAAGGGGAGGAGGGTGTCTCCAATATTACCCCAGCATTTCCCCTTTCATGTAGGGCCCAAAGCCAGTCCAAAGTTGGAAAACAAAAGTCCCCTGGAAGGGGGGTTTCCTACTCTTGAGTGCAAATAAACTTAAAAATAGTCTCCTCCGTCCAGACTTCAGCTGGGCCCCCCGTCTCCTCCCTGAGGAACTGTCTCATCCTACTCAAAAGCCAGCCCGCGTGGGGGAAGCTAATGAGCCAAACAGACACAGTGACGAGTCTGCCTGCGGTATGTTGTGCATGTGTAATGCTGGCAGACCCCAGTTGTCCGTGGGTGGAATCGAACCTGGGACCTCAGCGGTTGAGCCCCTGCCGCATGAGCTAAGAGCCAGCTGCCTATTAGCTAATGCTGTAGAGCAGACTCCTTATCCCCTCTGTAAATGGTGTTGGTGCTGCTTGAGTGCACCAACCAGCAGGTGTGTGGTTACAGTGGCACTAGGCATAAGCAGACTAAGCAATTGCTTAGGGCCCCAAGCAGCTGCAGGGGGGCCAGGATTCACTTTTTTTTAATGGTTGTTGTGAGGGGTGGGGGTGGGGGCAAAATATCCCTGCTTAGGGCTCCAAATAGGCTAGCACCATTCTACACGGGAATAGAAGACCTGCAGCATGGCAGACCAGAGCTGGGCAAAATACGGCCCGGGGGCCGGATCCGGCCCAAACCCCCCTGCTGGGACCCCCTGGCACGGAGCTTAAAGTTCACTCCCTGCATCCCTGCAGCAGGGGGAGGCTTCCTACAATCTCCCCGCCCCCAGCCCAATCCTCAGCTCCGATTGGCCAGAAGCAACCGGCCAATAGGAACTGACCCCAGCAATCTCTTAGCTCCTATTGGCTGGAAACAGCCAGCCAGTAAGATCTGAGAGCTGGGCCTGGAGGGTGGGAGCAGCACAAATCCCCTCCCCCTCCCCAGCTGAGAGCCAGGGGCGCTTTGCAGCTGCAGTTGTGAGTGAGCTGGGGCTGCAGCGGGGGGAGCCCGGCCTGCCTTGGGGGGCTGCAGGGCTGCTGGCTCGGGGCATGAGAGCCACATGGAGGGAGCAGCCTGCAGTTTAAAGCGATCTGGGGCTGCAGCAGGCAGGGAGCCCAGTCTGCCTTGGGTAAGTGCCTCCCAGCCAGAGCCTGCCTCTAGCACCCCTGCCCCTCCCGCACCCCCACTCCCTGCCCCAGCTCACCATCCAAACCCTCTGCACCCCCCTGCCCCAGGTCACAACTCCATCCCAGACTCTGCACCCCCTCCTCCCCCAGAATCCTCTCCTGAACCCAAACACCCTCCTTGAGGGAGCCCAGTCTGCCTTGGGTAAGTGCCTCCCAGCCAGAGCCTGCCTCTAGCACCCCTGCCCCTCCCGCACCCCCACTCCCTGCCCCAGCTCACCATCCAAACCCTCTGCACCCCCCTGCCCCAGGTCACAACTCCATCCCAGACTCTGCACCCCCTCCTCCCCCAGAATCCTCTCCTGAACCCAAACACCCTCCTTGACCCTGCACCCCCATCTCCTGCCCCAGGTCACACCGCTCTCCACCCAAACTCCCTCTCAGACCTCACACCATCTCCTGCACCCCAGTCCCTTACCCTGTGGCCCTTCTGCACCCAACCTCCACCCTAGACCCCGCATCTCCTCCTTGGCCACTTTCCAAAATCTGGGGAGTGCCCCCCTCCCACCAAAAATGATTGCCCATCCCTGGTACCCCCACCCTCCTCTCTCCTTGAGTAAGGAGCCCCAGTCCTCTTTCCCAGAGCTGGCTTATAATCAAACACGCCCTTATTATTCTCCCTGGGAGCCAGGCTTGCTCCCTGCAGTGGCCTGCAGCTGCTCTCTCAGGCCAGCCTCCTGCGAGGTATTCTCCGCCCTGCATACCTGGAGCCTTCTCCTCCCACACAAGTTTCCTTCCTCAGGGACCAGGCAGGAGTCTACTCTTTCTTTCGCTACATCCCCAGGCCTAGTCTGGGCTAAGCACACCACCTCATTATCTCCTCGTGGACTATGACCCGCCTAGGGAGGCGAGGTGATCCTGTCACACATGGTCCTGTCCCGTCTACTCGTAAATGGGACCACTGCTCTGAGTATACTGGCACCGTTAAGTGTCAAAACTGCTAAAGACAGACAAGGCACAATGGTTTTCCAGACCCGGACTCCTGCCTTGAGACTCTCTTCTTCCCAATCCGGGAAGGGCTGGTTGACTGTGACTCCCTGACACGTGTTCTGGGTTCAGGGGTTCTGCCCAGCTCACATGAGCACAAGTGTGTGGGGTCAGGGCTTTAATGATGTAGTCAGTTCAGTCCCTGTTATCTCCATTTCTATAGTTTCTAGTCCATTGTTTACAGCAGTGGCGCGCAACCTTTCTTCCTTCGCGACCCCCGAGTAGCGAGGGTCACCAACGGCTGGGCCCAGCCGCCAGTCGACCAGATCAAAGCGCCGCAACCCCCCAGGAAGACAGCTGTGACCCCTTTGGGGGTTGCAACCCATGGGTTGCGCACCACTGGTTTACAGCACAAAGACCTTGCCACGGAATGTCCACTGATTCTGTTTGTTTGAAGGGTCTGTGTGTTAGGAAGTTTCTCTTTGTTTCTGCAACTCATCAAGACACACAAATCAGGAGTTTCAGACCGTGTTCCCTGTAAGCTGAGTGCTTAAGGCAACACCGCCCAGTTGATTAGCAGAACACACAGCCGGCAGCATGTGTTTTTATTGGTGGCGTGCAACCACACATGCCTCAGTGCACATAACAAAATTTAGTCTGCACATGGATGGAAAAAAAAGTAGAGGGAACATTGGTTTCAGACACAACACAGGCCTCGTCAACAAGAGAAAATGGCACCAGTTTAACCTAAAGTATGAATTTAAACCAATTTTATTAAATGGGTATAACCAGTAGCTTTTTTTGTTTGTTTCCGTCAGATGAGAATAGGTTTAAATTAAATTGAAATAAACTCTTCAGAGCTTGTTTACACAAGGGGAGTAACACGATAGGATGTAAAGTTAAAGCACTACAGTTATATCACTGTAACTCTACCTATAGGCACCTTGTCCTATAGACACCTTCCTATAGGCACCATTAGATTGGCCTTTTTCTAGTTTGGAAAATGTTTAAGTTAAGGGGGAAAAAAAACCCCAAACAAACGTCTCTAATTCCAGGATACTGTATCCACGGGAGTACTCATTTTGGTACAGCAGTTCAAGTACAGCAAAGCACTTACACTGGCATAATTGGAAATATCTCCCATGTAGACAAAACCTGATTTGGAGCGAGGGAGTCCACACACAGGTTTGTAAATGTAATGGGCCAGACCCTTAGCTACAGTAAATTGCTGTAGCTCCATTTAAACGAACGCCAGCTTGCACTAGCTGAGGGAGGAACTGAGATGAGCAGCAGCAGTTCAGATTCTTGAGCAGTCTTTTAGACAAATACACAGCTGCCATGTGTACAAGACGAGAAGGAAACCCCCAGTTTGTAGCATATGCACAGCTCCCGGTCTGCAAGTCCGTTCTAGGGCTCCAGAAAGGAAGCGGATGAGTGACCCCTGCCTTCCTTTAACTGCCAGGGGTCAGGAGACAACTTCAGCTGTTTTCCTGCTGCTGTGTCGGAGGGGATGCTCTGTCTCTACTGTGCTTACTGGAGGGTGACTGTAATTAGAGCTTCTTATGAAATTCTAAGCTGCATCATTCGTGTAAGTGTTCTGACTGTGCATATCTCCTGGCACACTGCCCCAGCAAAGGGAACCCCAGACTAAGAAGTTTTAGGGAGGGCACTCTTCAAGAATAGGACGTACACAGCTGGAAACTGTCCTGTATCGACACTGCCATCTGGCGGTGCGGGTTTCACACAAGACAGATCTAGGTTCCCTTTTATCTCAATCCCTGACAACGCAGAACCATTAAGTGCAGCTTAATCACTAGCAAATGTGAAATGAGGATTGTACAGAATGATGCAAACAAGTAGCGTGACTTACTGGAACAGTTACCTTTCTTTAGCAATACCACCGTGGCATCACAGTTGCTGTTATCATCCATTTCGGTGTTATTTGCCAATCCATTCACCATATTCGCAGCATTTTTGGTCTTCCTTTCAAAGCACTGTCGTATAGAGGCATTAAACCTATGCAAATAAAAAAAACTGCAGCTGTGTCACCATTCCCTATACACCGCTTTCCTGCCAACCCTTCTTTTCTCAAGGCTGACCACGTGTAAGCAAACGATAGCATCCGAGGGTGCATCTACACACTAGTGTTATTTCGGTATAACTGATGATATTCTGAAATAACATAAGGTGTGTCTACACTGCAAGCCGTTACTTCAACATAATGTCGAAATAATAGCGAGCTGGAGGACTTCTTACTCCGACTTCTCTAACCCTCATTTCATGAGGAGTAAGGGAAGTCGAAGGAAGAGTGTTCTTCCTTCGACTTCCTGCTTTGTAGACAGTGCCAAAAGCCGAATTAAGCTATTTTGACTTCAGCTACGCAAGTGACGTAGCTGAAATTGCATAGCTTATTTCGGCTTTAGCCCTGATGGGTAGACGTGTCCTTAGGGCAGGGAAGGCCCTGTGGTTTTAAAGCCATCTAGCCTTAAGAACAGCTCACCTCTAGCTTAGTTACATGCAAAACAGTCTCTGGCTATGTCTAGACTACACTGATCTATCCGAAAAAGGTACACAAATTGCACTCTGCAATTTCTGTACCTTTTTCCAATATTTTTTTGGATGAGGCTTTTCCAAAATTTGGCCCATCTACACTGGGCCAAATTCCGAAAAAGCCTCCTCTTTCAGAAGATCCCTTCTTCCTCGTGGAAGAAGGAAGACAGGGCTTCCGAAAGAGCTCATCTGCTCTTCCTTAAAAAAAAAAAAGTGGAAGAGCAGATGCGTTCTCTGGACGCGGTGGAGTTTTTCTGGGATGCCTCCAGTATCTCGGAAAACCCCCGTAGTGTATACATAGCCTCTGTGTCCTCAAACACGAAAGTCCATAAAACGTGTAAAAAAATATCCTCAACTCTAAAACAAATCTCTCTATATATTTGTATTAGTGTCCAGGATATTTTTAACATACATGATACAACAGAGTATTTTTAAAACATATATTAGAACATTGCTTTTCAAACTCACTGTAAAAAGTATAATGCCTGTTCTGGGTCTAGTAATTCAGGGCTGAATTATGCCAATACAGGGCATCCCCGCTATAAGTCGCCCTGGTATGCATCCGTCCCAAACTAAAGTCATTGACGCTTTTTATCTCGAAATAGGGTATTTCGAAAAAGAGGCTGGCTGTGATTATGCAAATGAAGTACGGGAAATTCAAATCCACGCTTCATTTGCAAGTTCATTTGTCTGTATTTGCATTCCTCTCTCGAAAGAGGAATGCAGTGTAGACGTACCCTCAGAATGCATCTAGACTGCAAGTTTCGTTCGAAAGAGAGCATCCACACCTCAACACCGGATTGAAAAAGCCATCTGCTTTTTCGAAAGAGCGCGTCCAGGCTGCATGGACGTGCTCTCAGAAGAAAGCCCTGATTGCGATTCACAGCATGGCCGCCAGGGCACCTGTGCTTTTTCCAAGTGCCTCTTCTTTTGAAAAATGTCCCTGTTCTGCATCCACACAGGCCTTTTTCAAAAGAGCCCTTTCTCGTCATTTGAGGCTTACCAATGTTGAAAACCCCCTGCATTCTTTTGATTTAATTTAGAAAGAACGCGATTGCGGTGTGGATACAGGTGACGCTTTTTCAAAATAACAATGTAGTCTAGTCATACCCCATGTGATGGGAGCCAGCAAAGTCCTGGGGCCATGGCATTAGAGAAACTCTTCCCCTCCTACTGCTCTTGAATTACCTTTGCAGACTCAAAGTACATCACAAAGCAGAGCTGGGCATTTTAAACAGGCCAAGGGCATATGTGACTTACTTCATGATCAGGATGTAAATGACGTACATCAGCACTAGGACCAGGGACTCCCACCTGCAAAGAGAGGCATATGAGGGACGACTCATAGGAGAACAGAGAGAGATCACCTGTGCCTGACAGCACTCCCTGCCTCAGTCATCCAATAAACCCCCATGGAAACATTCAGCACACTGGGCCGTGTACTGCCTGTCAAAAGGGGGGGTAGGAAACAGGTTGTAGACAATGCTCTGGGATTCTAACTGCTCCTCTGATCCCACCTGGAAAAAAAGACGTAGCTTGGACATTTTGGGAAGGACAGCACGTGTCATGGATGCAGCGGAGTGGGACCACTTTGCACAGGGGTGCACATTGACACAGGGTGCAAAGCAATGGAGAATCAGGCCCACTAAGTTCCCAGAGCTGGCTTAAGAGGAGGGGAAGCAGCTGTTCTCTCCAGCTTCCTCCCCATGCCGCTGCTGCTACCCAGCTGAGCCAGCAGTCCCTGGACAGGCAGCTTTGCACGGTTCACACTGCTAGTTAAATGGGATGCCATGATTTGTTTAGCAGTTTCTACTACAAAATAAAGGGCACTTGCATTAAAATTACACAGCCCCTGGCTTTAGGTACTCCTCACTATAGTCATGACATTCTCTTTTCCTCCCCTCAAACCAGACCTTTACATTTTGTGACAAGCCCCTAGTCCCAGCTATAAGCATCCCCCACAGTTCTATACACTACGACTCATTTCCTTTGAAAGAGAGTTGTGGCTTTTTGATTGCTCAGATTTAGCACCGACCCTCTTAATTCATCTGCCTTGTTTTGAGAGCCCAGCACTCGGCTTCTCTGTTGAAAGGACACCGCGAAATCTACTTTGCCCTCAAATTTAATTTTAGTTTACAAAGAAAAAACAGCAACAACAGCAACAAAAACTCTGCAAAACTGTAGAAACGTCTCCATTCAATTAAAAGTAAACACCCTGGGGGAACAAGTTAAAACTCCGCAACTCCCTGCAGTGTTTGCAACCCAAGCATTACAGAAAACCTGACAATGAAAATAAACTGACTATGAGCAAAAGTTAAACTGCTTAACATCATTGTCCAATCTGAGGGAGACGCAGCAAACAAACAGAGGAAGCAGCGGAAAGTAAATTAGATTTTTCCATTTTCAGCGGTATTAAGCTACATTGTTATCAATAACATAGGTACATGATTTTTAACTGGCCTTTGTCCTTTTCATGCTCTCTCAGGTCACTGTGTTTTTAACATCGCTTTTACAATGATATATTTTATTCCATTTCTTTGTACAAGTTCAAACATTTGGACAAACTTAGAGAAGACAGTTTCTAATGCTCATGTTTCATGGCATTTCCCTCTGGCTTTCACTGCCCCTTGCCAGTCACTGTGACCTCACCCTGGCAGCAGACCTGTGACTAAAGGCCATGCCGTATGGCCAGTTTGCCCACGTAGACAGCACTTCCTCTGGGGAGCGAATGTGGGAGGACAGAGGGTGCAGTTTGACACTGCTGCCTCCCTGCATCAGGGGAGGCTGTGAATGAACCTCTGCTGGGCATTCCTCCCTAGCTCACAAAATGAGTTATGCCAGTCCACCTGCTAATTGGGTTTCCTGCGGAGCAGGAAATTGGAGCCTGAATTGCTCTACAGAATTTTAGCTTTCCCCACGCTCATTAACCCTGACTTTTCAGCAATATAATCATACAGTGACAAGAAAGAAATTAGACAGCTGGATACACTTACCAAGTAACGATTTCATCATAAATAAACTGTGGGAAATTAAAAAAAAAAGACACGTTATCCATGAAACGTGACAGCGTACATGACAGCTGAAAATACCCTGCTGCCTGAACATGCAGCAAAGCACATGAAGTTATGGGAGAAACCGGGTGTCCCATGGAAATCATGATATAAACATATGCCTTGGGAAGAAGGGCGGTTCCCCATCAGCTGATATAAATCAGCACACTCCAGTGAAGCGAATGAAGGCTACATGTGTTTTATACCAGCTAAGAATCTGCTGCCAGGGTCTGATTTTCAAAAGTGTTGAGCACCTGCCATTCCTACTATACAATAACACCGCACAAAGCTTTTGGGGGCAAGGAATATGTTGTTTCTCCAAGTGTCAAATCTTCCCAGATAACAATAACATCATGTCACAAAGCGGTGACACTGGACTTTTTAAAGCAGAAACTTAAGGGTTAGCTCTTCCCAGTCACCACTAGATGGCACTCACGCTCCGTCGCTTATTTTCACCAGGGCCTCTGGGCGAGCAGAGATGTGAAGGAAAGAATGCCAGTAGATACCCCACTAGTGATGGTTGGAGGTGCCAGTTTTTCCCCACACCAAATGGACATCTTCAGTGCCGGTTCCTGTCACTCACAACTACAGGCTTCATTTCAAAACTGTTTTCAGGCGGTGGCATGGGTATGGCATTGTAACGTGCCGTGACAGGATGCTGGGGGAACACAACGCCAGGAGGACAGCTGTGCCGCGTGGAGTTGCCTGTCCTGCCAAAGTGCCTGCTTTCTCCAGCCCTCCTGTTCTGCTGGACACTTACATCATGCGGCATATTTTATCTTACCAGACAGCTAGGAAAACGGCCTCCTGGTTTTTACCCTTTAGCTCGGTGTCGCATTTGTTAGAATGTGGCCCTGACAAGTCTCCAGCGCTGCATAGCCGACATGTTGACAGCAGCGTGGGATCAGGGGCATCATCCCAAAACAGCTGAGTGTCGATGCACTGCCACATCAGTGCCAGCTGGGCCGTGAGCTCCGCAGCCTCAGGCCACAGCCACCCTACAACCTGAGATCCCAGGAAATCCCTGGCTGGTGTTTTTGGTTTTAACTTATTGGATGGGAGGGAATGTTTAGCTCAGCTGCTCTAAAGCTTCATGGCTTGTTATTTGCTCTCCTCTGTACATGGCATGAAGACATGTGGTTTCATTAGGAAAACGCCATGCAAAAGCACTAGTATGGTACCAGAGAACAACCCAGGGAAAAGGAAACACTCTCTTAGCCTGAACACTCTGTAAACAGCAAGCCTCTTCATTTGCAATGTAATCAGTGACATTACTTATCAGATGATAAAATGGCTGTGATATATTATGAACATCACAGGTTATCGCTCACACTCACCAGGCTTTGATATGGCAACAATAGTTGTGGTGCAACAGGACACAGAAGCACACACACTCACCTCTGTGATTAAAAAGGAAAATAAGCTGTAGGCCACAGGTTTTGGCCTAACAGTTTTGACAGTGGCCCACATCTTCTAGGGCATTTAGGTACCTAACACTTATAGAAATCCACGGGAGTTAGGAACTTAAATGCTTCTGAGGATCTGGGCTAGTGTCCCTTTAAAATTCGGAAGTTCTGAATTTTTTCATCTTAAGGCAAGCCGCAGGCTAACTTTGACATAGTTTGAGGAATTAGATGTTCTTTTGCCAACCACTAATTAAAAGAAGGTCTGGGTGCAGTTTTTATTTGGAAAAAAGAGTTACAGAGCCAACTGCTCAGCCGGTGTAAATTAATCCATGCCAGTTTACACTGGTGGACCCTAGATTCTTAAGTGATTTAATGTTAGACCCCTAACTTTAAAATACTCAATATGAATGGGAACATATTTATTTTCCCACAGACCATATATGGTTAGCGAAAGCCACGATGGAGCAGTCACAGCTAGGAGATCAGCACCATCCATTTGTTAAAAGAACAAAAGATCATAAACGATGCTAAAAGTTAAGCATGAGCCTAAGGCTAGGTCTACACTATAGCCATTTGTAGGAAAAATCTACGCAAATCGCGCTCCTTAATTTGCATAGCTTTTTCTGATTGCTTTTCCGGAAGAGGCTTTTCCACCATTTGGACCCATCTAGACGGGGTCAAATGGCAGAAAAGACTCCTCTTTCGGAGGAGCCCTTCTTCCTCATAGAACAAGGTATACAGGGCTCCTCGAAAGAGCGCATTTGCTCTTCCGCAAAAAAAAAAATTGGAAGAGCAAATGTGTTTGTTCCCTGGACACGGCAGAGTTTTTCCAGGATACCTCCGATATCCCGGAAAACCCCCGCTGTCTAGATGTATCCTGAGTCCCAATTAAGTCAAAGGGACTTACATGTTTTGCTGAGTAGGGATGCACTTAATGTTCTTAAGTCCGTTGTTGAACTGGGATCTGCTTGGACATTTCTGGCTTTTATACATTCCTGTCTCAAAACTGACAATAATTGTATGTTTTAACCCAAGAAAATGTATTTTCTTCTTTCAATGTCCAAGAAACTCATTTTATCTCATAGAAAAAAAATGTCTGAGGGAACATTCAGATGACTGGTAGAGGAAGACTGATCAGTTATAAGTAGAACTAGCCTGCATTGGTATTTTGTGAAATTTTCCACTTTTCTTCACTATGCCATTAATCTGGTTATTTTCATGGTTAATGTGAAATAAAGGTTCGTGTCAACATGCCCGTATCTGGGGAAGGCAGGAGAGGGGCTGGTTCACTTCAAATCACAGACCATCCACTAGAATGAACTATGTCATTATTGTCTGTCCATAAGTCACCCTGCATGGTGGGGAAAAGGCCGGGCGTGGGCCTGAAGACACTGCCTTGTCTCAGCTCATCTTATGGGAATGTGCTGAGGCCGAATTCCTTCATGCATGTACATGCCTCGCAAACGGAAGGTGCTACCCAAGTGCAATTTGTGACGAGTGCAATTTCACATATGCTGAACGGCACTAAGAAAGAACGGTTGTATGGGAAATCCTCGCCTCATTGAAGTAAGTGGGTGTTCTGCCTTTTTGATTTCGTGGTCCTGCATTTTACTCTGGAAGTTTTGTGCCAAGGAGGTTTTCATATTCCTTCATAAGTGAGTAACACTATTTAACATTCAGGCATTCAATGCTATAGGACAGAGCATGTGAGGGTGCAGCATGTGTAACCAACCTGATGCAACATCTCAAAAGTTAAGAAATGAAAAGTTAAACCACCTAGCGGGACATGCTCTTTACTCCTTCACTCAGTGGCACTTACCCCACCCCCCACAACACCATAGACCACAAACCCCTCATTCTGCTTCAGTGTGAGGCTAGATTTCCCTCCACTCCCTTCCCTGAGCTATCTACCACCAAAGTAATCACAGCGAGCATCCTTTTGGGATAGTTCTTAGGCATCACCCACTTTCTTCTGTGGTAGGAGAGGCTGGAAGGCAAGCATCCCCCATGGGGCAGGGTTAAGGTGATGGTGTTTTCTTTGTCAGGTGGTTGTCTCTAGGGGGAGATGGGGGTCTCAGAAGGGAGGAAGGCAGGCTATGTATTTTAACAACTGAACAAGAGCTACCACCTAAACCTGACCCTGTTTGATCTAACAAGGTATTTTAATGCCCACTGAGAAAACATCAAGTAGAGGGGTTTCTACATGACTAACGGGATAAGGGAAATTCTCAAAATGAAGGCGTATCTCCCCGTTCTGCCATTTCCCTTTAGATGCATTTAACAAATGGCTATTGGCATAGCCCTATTGATAGCAAGGAGCTGCTGAGGCCTGGGAAGGAGTAAAAATATCCGAAGACTTTGGAGTGAAGAACAGGACTTTTGTAGCTCTATAGCCACAAAGAATAACCCTCCATGTAAGACATAGCTAGGGAGGGAAGAAAGAAGGAACCAGAACAGAAGAGTAGTGTATACTTTATTTATAGGCAGTTTTGTTTCATGGTCTGAGTTTCTAGCTACATACCCAATTAAAGGAACACGCTAGATACGACACACAAGGTATGATTGTATCAGGCCATTGTTAGGATGCCGAGAAGCAGCCAAAAATAAAGCTGTCATTAAAGACCACTGGGAAACTTGAAAAACCTCACCCACACCCCAATTGGTTTGCAACTCTCCTGCAAACGAAGCACACAATCCAAACCCGATCAGGTGAGAAGCAAAGCAGCTTTCTACAACCACGCTTCCTCTTGGATTAAAAATAAACAAATGCATCAATCAAACATCTGAAAATGTTGCATATGTCCTTTCTGCCTGTGGGAGGTAATTTTTTACAATATATGGGGTGGTTGGTTTATTGTTCAAAAGCCACTTTCTCGTGCTTCATTATTCTCCAGCTGTGGAAGTAACAAAGCAGCTTTTGTTTCACACATCATTCCTGTCATTGGCTTTTATTCCTGCACCAGAGTGGAGGTATGAATCAGATTGAAAACAAGCTATTTTTCATCAATTGCAGAAGGCTGACCTTGCAGCGCTGAGATTGCAAAGCACAAACAAGTTGAGGCAAACTCTTTTCTGGGAGTCTCAAGGGGAGGGACGAGCTATGAACATGGAATATGTACCCAGTATGCAGGCACATGCATACGGTGAAGGAAAATACAGCCAGGAAACTTTAGCGTTGCCTAGTTACAATCACACAAATTCTGGAATTGCAAACATTTCTCTTCTCACCGCCATGCTTACTTGACCTTTGAAATATATTAAAGTGAATATGAGAAGATCCCCATTGCTCTGTCCCCAGTTTGGTAGGGGTTGATTTATTTTAGGCTGCATGTCCAAGATGACCGTGATGTTATAGAAGGAAACAAACATGTAGATTTGCTCTGGGAAACTTCGCTTTTGTTATTTCCTGATTTTGTGTGAGCCTGGCTGAAAACGTCACATGTAACTGCAGCCGTTTTTACATTTCCAGTCTTACGTGAGTATGGCTTCCCTTTGCGGCCTGGCTTTCAACAAGTCTGAGCACTCACATTTCTCGCTGCACAGGATGGGAGCTGAAAAGGGTTAATTGTTGGATGTCAGGCCATTGAGTGGGGAACCTAAGGCTTGGGGGCCGGATGCAGCTTCTGGCTTGCCTGGATCCGGCCCTCGAGGCTCACAGTTCCCTTCCCCTATAGTATTGGGGCGCGCACCCTGGTGACAATCCCGATGTGGCCCACAGGAAAGAATGAACTTTTCTACACAAGCCCACAGGAGAGAATTAGCTTTTCTATAACAGCCTTCAAAAACTTACCACAATGAGGGCAACAACAGAGAGTGTGTAGTAGATTGAATCTCGCAGCAGACTCCACGAAGACAGCGCAACCACCTGAGAAAACATGTAGAAAAGGAGGAGTGAGCCGGGCTCTCATCATCACAAGCCCTGTATGTCCACAAGGAGGGACTGTCATGTCATAGTGCAAGCTGGCCCACTACTCTTCAGAGGCACAAAACCCGAGGCGATGAACTGAATTCTGCCCTCAGTTACGTCTGTGCAGCACGGGCAGACGGTGAAGCTGTACTCTCCGGGACAGCTATGTGAGTCCCTCGAGTTAGGGCGTGTCTACACTAGGAAACTATTTCGAAGTAACTAAATTCGAAATAATAACTCCCGAAATAACAAAATCGAACCAGTGTGTCTTCACTATAGGGGAGCCTTGAAATTAGTCCCAGGCAGGCTCCCTTAACGTGGACCCGCTACCTCGACTTAGAGCCCCAGGGAGCACCGGGGAGTAAACAGTTCAAAATGCTCTGGGGAGTTGTTATTTCGAAATAGCAGCAGCAGAGCATCCATACTACCTTTATTTTAAAATGACTATTTCAAAATTAGTGTTATTCCCCAAAGAAAGCAGGAATACAGATTTCAAAAAGAAACAGCCTGTTATTTTGAAACAACAGGCTAAGTAATGTGGATGCTCCACTTATTATTTTGAAATAAGGAGGGGTATTTTGAAATAACTCCCTAGTGCAGACCAGGGCTTAGGCTATGTCTAGACTACAGGTTTTTTTTTTTTTTAAAGCGGTTTTTTTTTCTAAAAAACTTCACCTGCGTCTAGACTGCTGCTGCGTTCTTTTGAAATTAAATTGAAAGAACGCGGCATTTTTTCCATTTTATGAGGAAGAACACCTCTTTTGAAAAGAGCTCTTTTGAAAAAAGACGTTCTTGACCACAAATAGGGCTTTTTTGAAAGCGAGCATCCAGATTGCCTGGGTGCTGTCTTTCAAAAAAGTGTATCGCTTTTTCGAAAAATTTGTGTCTGTCTAGACGATCTCTTTCAAAAGAAGCTTTTTCGAAAGATTCTTTTGAAAAAGCTTCTTTCGAAAGAAGCATGTAGTATATTCGTACCTTTAGAGAATTCACTGTGAGGTCAGGGGTTGTATTAAGGGCAGGACCTGTGTTATACCTCAAGCTAGCAGTGCCGTGAAGACGAGCCTTAGGAAGAAAAGGACATGCAATTCACTTTGAACAGAGGATAAAACAGGATGGCTGCCTAGTTCCTTCCACTCAACACCTTTCGAAGGTTCAGCAATCGGAAGTAATTTGGGTCACTGGGAGCCAACTTAGACAGGAACTAGGATTGGGGAAGAGAAAAGCCACTGAGTAATTCAGTCCTTGACTTCATTAGCGAAATCTTAAAAGGGCAGATTAAAAGCAGTCACGGGGCTGTAACATCTACAATCTGCTAAACTCTGCTCTGGTTTTTTTACAGCCTAGGACGTCCCCGCAGCTGAACTGTCTCCTCAAATCTTTATTTTCCATTTCTCGAGTGTAACTTCAAACAGTCTGGGCCAGATCCTTCGCTGGCGTTCATCAGCACTGCTCCGGAGAAGTCATTGGAGCGGGGCCCGTTTACACCAGCAATCTGGTGCCCAGCCACTTCCTCAAGTCATGCTTGTGCAAGAATTCAATCTAATCCAACAGCAGCTTCGTTTTCATCCCGCCGCACCTAGACAAAAGGTCCCATTGCAGAAAGCTGAAATAAACCAGTTCCCCAGCGTTCTCTGGTATTAACCCTGACATGACTGGCATTTGTCAGGCTTTAAATAGTTTGAAAAGTCATACCCGAAAGTCTCTTTCCACGGTGACTCTATAAGCAGGTGTACGTGTAATTTATGCTCAGGTGAACGTTTCCTGACACTGCCCGAGCCATGTAAAGAACCTGTGTTTTAAATGAGAAGTGGGGTCATGTAGTTGGAGGGTCAGATGAGATTTACACCAGCGGAGCTCTGCCTTCATGCACACGCGTATGTGCACGGCTGCAGGTTATGATGGAAAAACCTGAATTCTAAGTCCCTAGAGGTATGCTCCTAAATCCAGATTTAGGCTCCGAGATAAGTTTCTCCATCATTTTCTAGAGCTTCCTTGTTTGATGTTAAGTTTCCATTTTTATAAGAAGTTTATAAAATTAAATTTACTCTCTTAACTTTGTTCTTCAGGGCTGCACATTTTACCCCTTTAACCACTGATGTTTCTTGAAGATGGGGTAACATTTCTATCACTTGCCAAATAAAAAAGTTAGTGCCGGAACTGACATTTAACAAATGATCACCACGTCACACAGGGATAACACCTGACTCCGCTGATTCCCAAAGATTTTTTTGGGTGAACTCCTTGGCTGTGTCTACACTGGCAAGTTATTCCGGAAAATCAGCCGCTTTTCCGGAAAAACTTGCCAGCTGTCTACACTGGCCACTTGAATTTCCGGAAAAGCACTGACGATCTAATGTAAAATCATCAGTGCTTTTCTGGAAAAACTATGCTGCTCCCATTTGGGCAAAAGTCTTTTTCCAGAAAACTGTTCCGGAAAAGGGCCAGTGTAGACAGCTGAGATTTGTTTTCCGCAAAAAAAGCCCCGATCGCGAAAATGACGATCGGGGCTTTTTTGTGGAAAAGCGCGTCTAGATTGGCCACGGACGCTTTTCCGGAAATAGTGCTTTTCCGGAAAAGCGTCCTGCCAATCTAGACGCGCTTTTCCGAAAAAGCTTTTAACGGAAAACTTTTCCGTTAAAAGCATTTTCGGAAATTCATGCCTGTGTAGACGTAGCCCTTATGTAAGCTTCACGGGTCCAGCTCAGCCTGGAATCTGAAAGTTAAGCCGGCTTTACTTTGCTCATGGGTTGTCATTTGTAATAACAGCCTGGAAGGTCCAACATACCCTCCTATACAGCTATGCTGTCCCACAGATGCTATGGGATTTCTGCCCCACAGCACATCTGAGCAAACCCATTAACTCCTGGGGGATTACAAACAGGCAGAATCTGTATTATTGGAGATGCTTTAAAAGCTGGAAAGAACCTAGCTGGATTTCTGATGCCAAGTTGAGTGGCGCCCATATAAGGAATTGGGCTTATACATGGAGTTCATTTTTCACATAGGTCATGGCAAATCTACACTGCTATTGTGAAGTCAAGCCAAGATTTTTCTCCATCTAGGTTGGGAGTGGGGATGGCACAGGTTACAGCAGATTTATGACTGCTGATAACCCCTCCATCCCTGTACATTCTCTTCAGACCATATATGGCTCAATTCAGTTTCCTTTGTGCAGCTGGAGCCTGCAATGGGAATGGGGTGGATCAGAGAATCTGGCCCTATATTTCTCTGCAAGGTGAAGAATTCCATTACAGGGCTCAGCCGAAGCGTAACTAAGCCATCGCAGATTGCTCAGTTAAAAATAAGTGACTCTCCTTGTCTCTTTATGGCCAACCCCTAAAGAGTTATTGTGGAAAACGTAAAGGGCTGTTAGTTGCATTTTGAAACCTTTCACAGGCTGACACATACATCTTAATATATCCAAGAGACAACTTAATTCCTAGTGTTGCCAGTTAGGTTATGCACTGCAACCATAGTAACCACAGCAATATAAGCACCAACTTGTCAGTCCACCCAGCACGGAAAAGTTCCCCTCGGGGACTGATCACAAATGCTCCTGCAACCCACATTTGGCTCAGCCAGGCCAAGTGTCCCATGGTGAAGAAATCTTTGGCGAGCAATAGCGAGAGTAAGGACAGAAATGATATGCAGAGGAAAACTCCAGAAAAAGGAAAACAGGAAATAGTTTTTCTTTTCTTTTCTTTTCTTTTCTTTTCTTTTCTTTTCTTTTCTTTTCTTTTCTTTTCTTTTCTTTTCTTTTCTTTTCTCTACAGTGCAGGTTTTTTATCTTGAGCTTGTAGACCTCAGTGGTCCAGGAATCGAATTACAGGCAGTCCCCGGGTTACATGGATCCGACTTACATCGGTTCCCTACTTACAAACGGGGTGAGGCAAACCCGCACTAGCTGCTTCCCCTCAGCAGACCAGGGAGACGCGAAGATAGCGCCCGCCCCAGCAGACCAGGGAGATGCGGAGCGGCTTTTCTCAGCAGACACCTCAGATTGAGAATAAAGGACTGAGGGAAGTGAGGTGTGGGAGAATAAAACTGAGCTCTGGAGAAATGTTTGGCTAGAGTTTCCCCTACAATATGTACCAGTTCCCACTTACATACAAATTCAACTTAAGAACAAACCTACAGTCCCTATCTTGTACGTAACCCGGGGAATGCCTGTAATGATCCACATTAGCCCAAAGACCCACAGTAATGTGAATTCATTGTTTCATTGATCACAGTGCTATCTATTCATATTGAAACAGTATGATAGAGAAATAGTTGGTTTTATACACATATTATTCTCAAAACAAAATGACTGAACCATTATTATTTATCAACTACAACTGGCTAAGCATTCTGATTGGCTAATAATTAAATCACGTGGGCATGATTACAATAACTACACTGGCATGAATTTCCGGAAATGCTTAAAATGGAACAGTTTTCCGTTATAAGTATTTCTGGAAAAAGAGCGTCTACACTGGCAGGCTGCTTTTCTGAAAAAGCCCTTTTTCCAGAAAAGCGTCTGTGGCCAATGTAGACGCGCTTTTCCGGAAAAAAGTCCCGATCATCATTTTCGCGATCGGGGCTTTTTTTGCGGAAAAGACTAATGTACTGTCTACACTGGCCCTTTTCCGGAACAGTTTTCCGGAAAAAGGACTTTTGCCCGAGCGGGAGCAGCATAGTTTTTCCGGAAAAGCAGCTGATTTCTTACAGTAAATCGTCAGTGCTTTTCCGGAAATTCAAGGGGCCAGTGTAGACAGCTCGCAGCTTATTCCAGAAAAGCGGCTGCTTTTCCGGAATAAGTGGCCCAGTGTATACACAGCCGTGATGTTTTAATATCACGTGTTGCAAAGAGTCACAAGAGACACATTAAAGAGCCATTTGTGGCTTGCAAGTGTCAGGCTGAGTACCGCTGCTTTACACTGCTCAGTCATTGAATAGAACCCTACAGCACAGGAAAG